CAACACTGCTGATTTATTGTCACAAAATATCTTAAGTGGTCTTTCTATATTGTCCACAATACGGAGCCCAGTGACAAAATTACGCAGCCATATTCCATGATTTGATGCCTCATAACACGCTATAAACTCCGCTGCCATAGTGGAAGTAGCTATGAGTGTCTGCTTAGCACTCTTCCAGGAAATAGCACCTCCAGCAAGCACGTAAATATAGCCTGAAGTGGATCTCCTACTATCTTGGCATCCCGCAAAATCGGAATCAGAATAACCGATGATCTCCAACTGATCCGATCTCCTGTATGTGAGCATGTAGTCTTTTGTTCTCTGTAAATACCGCATGACCCGTTTGGCTGCTTTCCAATGATCCATTCCCGGGTTACTTAAATATCTCCCTAGCATCCCAACGATGTACGTTATATCTGGACGCGTACAAACCTGAGCATACATCAGACTCCCTATAGCTGAGGAATAAGGAATCTTCTGGATTTCTTTAATTTCCAAGTCATTTTTAGGGCACTGACTTAAGCTGAACTTGTCACCTTTAGCCACAGGGGTGTCACATGGTTTACAATTTTGCATGCCATATCTTTTAAGTACCTTTTCGATATAGCTCTTTTGTGATAATCCAAGAATACCTCGAGAACGATCTCGGTGTATCTGAATTCCTAATACAAAAGAGGCATCACCAAGATCTTTCATCTCAAAATTCTTTGCTAGAAATATCTTGGTTTCGTGCAATAAGCCTATATCGTTGCTGGTAAGCAATATGTCATCGACATATAAAACCAGAAAAATATACTTGCTCCCACTGAACTTGTGGTATATACAATCATCAACCAAATTCATCTCAAAACCAAATGAGATGATCACTTGATGAAACTTGTAATACCATTGACGAGATGCCTGTTTGAGCCCATATATGGATTTCTTTAATTTACAAACCATTTGCTTTGTATCGTCCGATACAAAGTTTTCTGGTTGTACCATATAAATTGTTTCATCAATGTCACCATTGAGAAACGCTGTCTTAACATCCATCTGATGTAGCTCAAGATCGAAATGCGCTACCAATGCCATTATAGTCTTGAAAGAGTCTTTCGAAGAAATCGGAGAGAAAGTCTCTTTATAATCGATGCCTTCTTTCTGTGTAAAGCCTTTTGCGACAAGACGAGCCTTATACCTCTCTATATCACCTTTTGAATCCCTCTTGGTCTTAAATATCCATTTGCAACCAATGGGTTTCGCACCTTCAAGCAATGGAACGAGGTCACATACGTCATTGTCCTTCATGGACTTTATCTCTTCATTCATAGCATCGAGCCACTTTTGAGAGTTAGAACTTTCCATGGCTTGACGGAAGTTTATCGGATCATCTTCCACCATTCCAATGTCAACTTCATGTTCTTGAAGAAATACGATGTAATCATTCGAAACCGCACTTCTCCTCTCTCTAGTGGATCTTCTTAATGGCATTGGTTCTTGAGGGTGTAGAGTTTGTTCTTCTGGAACAATTTGTTGATCTTGAGAGGGAGGTATGACATTGTCTTGATCCAGAGTTGCTTCTTGAACAATATCAGGGATAGAAACCTGATCATTGTCAATGGCAATTGGAGGAATTTCAACATAATCCTCCTCAAAGACAAAGCCTGTAACCCTTTCTCCCCCCACAAACTCAACATCCTCAAAGAAC